CTCCGCCTGGCCCTGTTCAAGTAAGTGTGGTGCAAACAAGTGCTTCTTAATTCTTAAGCTCTTAAGTATGACACCCATTTACAGAAATTTCCAGTATAATGAATATTCTGGAGATCCCTAGTTAATACAGACCTAACAATCTTATGAACGGCTTTTTTTTCTAATTCTAGCTCCTCAATAACTATTGTTTCTAGGTCATTTACTTACTATTTAGTGTCTTGGAAAAAAAGGGTATCATCTAAACAAAAATAAGCCGTTCTTACGACTATCTTTGGGTGCATATTAATGGGTGCAGTAGAGTTTTTAAAAAGCTGACAAAGTTCGTAAGGTGCATTTTGCTTACTGTTTGTTGCTGATCTTTCCTTTCTTACTGTTTGTTGTTTCAGGAAATCAATCAAGAGATTGTGAAGATGTCAAATGATGACATTTTGGGTGATGAAATACCCTATTATCAGGAGGAATCTTACCGGCAATTCTGTTATAAGATGCTTATGATGAATATTGGGGTAGGAATTTAAAATGCTTATTCGTTATTCCTAGTTTTTCTTCTCTATGTTCTTATGGAATATTACGTTGAGCCTTTTTTCCCCCTGCATGTTTGTTCATTCAAAAGCATGCTAAATGTTTGTTGAGACTAATGCAATAGATTAATTTTTCTCTGATCCAGGGAAGAGGATGTACACAATTCCCAGGGTCGCACCCTGTATCTTTAGACAGGTGAGTCTGACTCTCTGCTATACTTTTTGTAATGCTTACAAAGAGGATTTAGCAAGTGTATGTTCTGAATTTCAGGGGTTCATTAGTCCTACTTTCTCAGTGTAGTTAATTGTTACGCTTTTTGCATACACTACTCATATACAGGGAGAGTTTGCAACTTTTGAGGCAGCGGTACTATTATGCGACATGGAAGGCAGATGGAACACGTTATATGATGCTCTTAACTATAGATGGGTGCTATTTGATAGATAGGAGCTTTAAGTTTCGAAGGGTACAAATGCGTTTCCCCTGTAATCACCCAAGTCAAGTGAGTAATTTTCTGTTATTGCTTAGAGCCCTTTTGTATCAATATCTAAAACTTGTGTGAGTTTCCTGACCTTTTGGTTTTGGGTGCTAGGGAATTTCCGATAAAGTGCATCATTACACTTTGCTTGATGGAGAAATGGTTATAGACAATCTGAATGATGAAAAAGGGCAGGCGAGGAGGAGGTACCTCGTATATGATATGGTAGCAATCAACGGCGAATCAGTCGTAGAGGTTGGAACTGTCATTATTTCATCACATCCTTGGGTTTTGGTTCCCGTGTTATTAATTTCCTTGGAATGAGTTTGTCAGCACGAGATCTTAATATTCAGTATTTATCTAACTAAGAGAGTATCTGCGAGGTTTTTTCCAATATTTGGCCGTTCTTTATACTCGGTTTCAACTAGTGTCAGGTATTTTAGATGCTAAAAATTACTTACAATTGATATCAGCGGACTTTCTGTGAAAGATGGCACATGCTTGTGCATGAGGTGATCAGTGCCCGTGAGGATGATAGGAAAAAAAATCATTTGTACAGATACGACCTGGAGCCTTTTGGGGTGAGTTGTATTATCTCTCTCGTGCCCCACTCGCCTTTCTTTGTATAAATTGTTGGCTTAAATTTTTTGTTTGGCCAGGTACGGGCAAAGGCTTTTTGGTTACTTTCTGCTGTTGAGAAGGTTTTGAAGTCTTTCAATGAGTCGCTTTCGCATGAATCAGATGGCCTAATATTTCAGGTAGGTCTGAATAGATACTTTTTCCTGAACGCAGACAGACACAAATTCATTAGATTAGGTGTTTTCTTTTTTTTTACTGAAGAAGGTAGGAAGATTGCAGTTCTTGAGCTGACATAAATTGGGTTTTGTTGACTAATAATAGGGTTGGGACGATCCTTACGTTCCCCGAACCCATAAAGGTCTACTGAAGTGGAAATATGCGGAAATGAACTCAGTAGACTTTCTGTTTGAGACGTGTGAGAATGACGGACGTGAAAGGCTCTTCTTGTATGAAAGAGGGAAGAAAAAGCTAATGGAAGGATATTCGGTTGAGTTTAGAGATGATTCGGAGCCGTCAAGTTACAATGGGAAGATTGTAGAGTGTTCATGGAATAAGGAGAAGAAAGTTTGGGTTAGCATGCGGATAAGAGCTGACAAAACTACACCAAATGATATCAATACCGCTCGTAAGGTCAGTAGAACGGTTTTTTTATATTTCAAGCATATATCGCTTGAATTTTCTCATATGTTAAATTTTGTTGTTAAAACAAAACAGGTGATAAAGAGCATAAATGATAACATCACTGAGGAAGTGTTGCTTCAGGAGATCAAAGAGATTCTCCGTCTCCCAATGTACGCAGACCGCATTCGAAATGATAGTCGCGGCAGGTAGAGATTAATTACATCTATATTGATGATTCTATTATCTTAGTAACAATCAATATATTGGTTGACGAATATTGGGGATTTAGGGTTAGAGGTTTTTCTTCTCTCATACGTATACATACTTTGTCTTTTTTGCGAACCATTAACAAAAGGTTTAGGTCTCGGTACCAACGACAATGCATTTGAATCTGATATGAATGTCTATGGATGTTTAGAGAAATATGTTTTACTTATATCCATCTTATCATTTCTTCTCTATTTCTGTTTCTTTTCTCTCTTATGTTTTTTCTTCTTTTTATTTACCGTTTTCGAACTTGATCCTTCTCCGAATAACACATCCGATGCGTGGTTTGCTTTATCCACTGTATCATGAATTTCAACTGCAACGAGAATCACAGGAAATACATTATATCCATTGAGTTTAAAATCGTATCCTCAATTATATATAGATAGTTTTAACTTAATCATATAATTGATGCATCAAATACCGTACGAACCATGTTGCAAATGATGAAGATATCCGGACCTGTGAACTATCCTCCTGTTCGATTTCTCTTCTTCTTTCACCTCTTCCCATTCATGCTCGCATTTAGCTACTCGATCACTTAGAAAATATACCTTCATCTTTTAAAACAACATTTTATTTCAGCTAATTAATTATTTGCTTTAAGCAGAATTTAAAACTCGCTTGTGATTCATCGGTAACATAGAGATGAGATCTCAATACAGGAGAAAGGATTTACCGTTAACGTTTCAATTTGTAGCTCCAAAATGTCCATATATTTAGACGTGTAGTCATTGTGATATGAAGAACTAAAGAAAATAAGTCCAATGCATTAGTTTGACATGATTTAAACAATATTTTACCAAAATCATAAAACACAATCCAGTGAAACTCATATACATATTATCAACAATATATAAAGTTTAATGAACCGTACCACGTTATTCACGTTTACACTGACAGGGTGAAATCATCGTGACATAGATGACCAATTCAAATAAATAGATAGAAAATCGTTTTTTTTTTTTGGCTATATAGAAAATCGTTATGATCGATTTAAATTGTAAAAAAATCAGTAAAATTTTGAATACCATTTTGATTCATCATTTAGCATTTTGGTTGCGCTTTGTCATATATCGACCGCACCAAACGCCTGAGGTTCCACACCAAATTGTACCTTTAGCTTCACTGCAAATGTTTACCCACTGCAAACTAGTAGTGTTTTCCAAAAGTATACCTGAAATTTGGTAGAAAATTTTGGTTAATCGTTATAGGCTTTCTCGACGAATTTCTTTGCTACGCATCGCCATTTTATAGTACAAAAAAAGTTGATCTGTTTTTGGAAAGTCTATAAGTTGAACTGTTTATGGCAAGTCTATAAGTTTGTATTTTATTAATTATCAGTAAAAATGTGTTTCTCATTTCTCTATTTTTGAGTAAAAACACAAAATAGTAGTCAGTAGTCACAAAGATTAAATTGACTGGACAAAAACTGCTTTTTGGTCAACTTTTGATTTTTTTTTCTTTAATAGATATTTATTAGGTAAAACCATATTTAAGTTATGTATATTTGATACTCTAGGTGGCTTCTCAATTTTATGTCTAAAGATATTAATCGTAAATTTTTAGATTATATAGTCTTTTTGTGGACAAGTGATTTTGGACCACAATTAACAAAATTATTGTATTTCTTGACATTTTAATAAAATTAATTTATTCCTTGCATTTTCATATACTTTTTTCGTTTTTCTAATTATTTTAATTTTTAACCATAATATTTTTTTTGCTCTAACCAGCTGAGCTAATAGCCCTTCTTCCTTCTCACAACCTTGATACGTATATCTATCCGTAAAGTGTACATTCGAGTAAAAGATGGCACAACACACATATGATACAAAACGACTATGTATTTAGGCCACGCATGTAAAGATCGCTTCTCCAACCACGTGCCCTTCAATTGCGTCCAGCAATCTCTCTTTCGTAACCTGAGTTACAACATTCAACTTGAAACTTTTTATCATAAACTTACAAACAAATTAGATATAATATAACCAAACATATCAAATATAAATTACCCTCTAATTCCAATTTAAATGAGTTTATGTTAATCTGATTTACAAGAAAACAATAGAATAGCCTTCCGAACATTCACACTTGGTTATTATTTTACTTAAAAAGCTTTGAGACTTTAAAACGACGTAGTTTTTGGTTACCGTGTGACCAAGACTAGGTTTATCGTCAAGAGCAAAGAGCTTGAACTGGAAACGATGACCGTGACTAGGCATGAGAGGTCCACGCCATCCCGGAATCTTGTGATCGTTATTCCCTTCTCGAATACCGGCTATCTCGTCCTCCTTGCCGGAAAATCCTTCCGGCAAACCTTTAATCTCCGGCGGTATATCCACGACCACCCACACCGTCCAAGGCACAAGCGGTCCACTAGGATCCGGTGCATCTATGTCCTCCACCACTAACGCTAGCGATTTCGTACCTTCTGGTACATTATACCTACACGTAACATGCAAATTAATCATCGATC